AAAGCTCTGGTGTAGATTTTTAAGCGGTATCTTGTAAAGCTAGGTTTGCTCTAGGCAATGATGAGCCAAACCCTATTTAAATATAGGAGAATTTCGTGCGGTTCTGTACCTATTTTGGTGCAGGAACTATGCATCAACCAAATATTAGGTTGTCCGGAAATTAATGCAGGTTTTGATTTCCAACCGCAATGAGTCATAAATTTCTCATTTTTGAATAGGTTGCAAGGTACTGTTCGATAGAGCAAAGCAAGCTCTACAAGATGGCTATTTTGCTTTAGCAGCAGCTCTGATCTACCACGAGTTTCGAGCCAAAAACTAAAAAGACTCAGCAGCCCGAAAAATCGAGAAAAATCGTAACTCACTTCGTAAAAATCCTACAAAAATTCTAACTTGCTCACGTAAACACAATCCACATAAGGCATCTATATACGCCGTTGCCGTATTTTTTTCTCTGTTAGAAATCAAGAAAACGGAAATTTTCGTCCATCTGCTAAAATGGTGCTGCGCCGTTCGCACATAGGTAGTTGTATACTACAAATCTTCAGAAGTACAAACGTAAATTTTCAGCTCTCTACAAGCTTTAGTTCGCGAGAAATTTGAATTTTAGCTTGGACTACATGACTAGGGAAAACTGTATTCGATATTTCTCGAAAACTAAAGCTTGTAGAGAGCTGGAAATTTACGTTTGTACTTCTAAAGGCTTGTAGTATACAACTACTGTGCGAACGGCACAGCATCACTTTGGCAAAAGCATGAAAATGTCCGTTTTCTTGATTTCCGCCAAAGGAAAAAATACGGCAACGGCGTACATAGATGTCTCATGTGGATAGTGCTTATGTGTGCAAGTTAGAATTTTTCTAGGTCTCTTATAAACTGAGTTACGATTTTTCTCAATTTTTCGGGCAGTTGAATCTTTTTAGTTTTTGGCTCGAAATTCGTGGTGGATTAGAGCTGTTGCTAAAGCAAGATAGCCATCTTGTAGAGCTTGCTTTGCTCTATCGAACAGTTCCTTGCAACCTCTTCAAAAATGAGAAATGTATGACTTATTGCGGTTGGAAATCAAAACCTGCATTAATTTTCGGACAACCTAATATTTACTGTGATATCAAGTCGTTTACTCAATCTTATTAGGTGCAAAAGTTTTGTCAGTTTTTTCCAATTCATCGGCAAACACGATAGAATGAGGTTAAACAAAAACTTCAAAATGTATCCGATGCAGAATTTCTTCCTCTTTCCAGTTGCTTAACTCCTATCGTGTTTCGTTGCGAGAGTGACGAGATATCTGCTGGAAATTACAACCACTCTTTTTACCATGTCCAACTTTCACTATTTTCAAAATTTTTGGATGAGACGTACGGAGGAGCTCTAACAACCACCAAAAAGGGCAAACCTTTTGCCAACGAAGGCAATTTGTTGTAACGCTACGGCTTGTCTTTTAGAATTTCTACGATTTATTCTTCAACCAAATTTTACATTCAGCCTATTCTAACCTCGTAGAATATAAAATACTAGCTTGCTTACCCGGCTCCGCTCAGGCCTGTCAAAACACTGTAATAAAGGTCCCATCCCTATCCCTGCACAGCCTTCCCCTGTGCCCACTTCTACCCCTCAATTTCCGTTCCCTGTGTTGTTTTCGAAATCAGCATGCCCACTTACCCCCCCCCCCCTATGCCAACTCCCAGCCCTGTAGCTCAAACTTTGCAAAAAAATCGATAAAATCGATGAAAGTAATCGATATTCCTGAAAACTAATATTGTATTCAGATTCATGCTCGATTACCCCATGTGCCAACTCCCAGCCCCGTAGGTGAACTCTGCAAAAAAATCGATAAAAATCGATAAAATCGTTATCGATCGATGACGAAAAGTAGCCTATGACACCCGTCGGGGTCCGAAGTGTATGTGTGCCAAGTTTGGTCCGGATCGGTTCAGAAATGGAATTTTCTATTCGGAACATACGTACAGACAGACATACAGACATACAGACATACAAATAGACATTCAGCTTTATATATAAGATCAAACACTTTAGTCACCATTCTATGCAACTTTTTCTCCTCCTTTTAACACTTGTCTTTTTTGCCGAGGCAGGCGAAATTTGTGGGGAAAGTCGCAGTATTTCTCAATTCCAGGAGTGCGCACTGACGTAACCTATTTCAAAATCTTCATAATTTGAAGCGGAAATCGCTCATCTACTTTGTTATGCTAGCGGTAGTAATAATCGAATGTTGAAACCTCAGCATTTTGTAGATTTTGCAGTGCTTACTGCAATAACAGGTTATGCGATAAAACCAAAACACAAAACTTTTAGAAAAATTATTTAGCGAAAATCTCAAAAAGCAGCTGAAAAAAGAAAAATTTGCATAAGTTGGCAAAAGGTTTGCCCTATCTGATCGTTATTAGGGCTCCTCCGAAAGTCTCATCAAAAATTTTGAAAACTAGTGAAAATTTGGCATGGTAAAAACGGGTGGTTGTAATTTACAGCAGGTATCTCATCACTCTCGCAACGAAACACAATGAGATTTTTGCAGCTAGAAAGAGGAAGAAATTCTGCATCGGATGCATTTCGAAATGTTTGTTTACCTTCATTGCCGATGGATTGAAAAAACTGACAAAACCTTTGCACTGACTTAGTATATGTAGTTCATGCGATTAACTTTTAGAAATTTCGTAAAATATTCTTGAAAGCCGGAGACTCTCCCCTCAGCTCCCCTTTTAGCCCTACCTACGGAGGGCTATATAACAAGTTGTGCCAAAAGTTCTGTTGTTTTCAAACGATTATGATCACGTACAATAAAGACTCAAAGAATTTCAACAAATATTTGGCGCAGCTTTCCATTCTCTTTCTTATGGTTTTCGAGTTATAACTATTTAAGTACTCCTAGATAAATGTCGAAACTCTTCACCGTCACTTACAATTGTTCGAAGTTCGGCTAACTATTGAAAATCTTTATTTGAAAATTTTGGAAAGGAGTGAATATGATACGAATAATACAAATCGCAAAAAAGCAGCAGTATTTTCAAATTTTTTGTTCTGAACGGTTGCTTATAGCTTTAAAAAATTTATTTCTTTAGAGATCTCAGTTTTTGGTAAAGTCGTGAAACACGCAACAGCATAAAAAACATGAAAGCCTTCGAAGTTTCCGTGAGTCGAAGTCTTTTTTTAGATTTTTACTAAACATTATTATTATTAGGTTGTAAAGAAAGTTCTGCCAATAGAAGTTGAGCTAAATTCTTCTATTCATATCTTCATTATGAGTGGCTGTCATCCAGCGTTTTGGTCATGCGTACTGGTAACCTTAGACTACTGATTAGGTACATCATGGATACTCTTTTTCAAGGAGCGCATTGCTGCGTTTTAAAACAGGTGGCGAGTTCAATTTTTTGACTCTTGAATTCAATGAGTTATTTCTTGCTTGCAAAGAAGCCCAGGTATCTGGGCAAGTGATAGTCGGATAGCGCTTCATCTAGCCAATATACAGGGTATAAAACGGAGTTTCGATTCAGGCATTTAGAAGTTCTGAGCGTTTATAATCCAAAAAATGTGCCTTTTCGCAGACCTAAGCGCAACGGATTTTTTTCCTTTTTTGAGCATTTCTTCCTAGTTGATCGTCATTTTTTCGAGATGACTAGCTTGCTGGGTAGCTGGGGCCATTGCACACTAAAAACACATCTCAAATCAACCCCTTGCTTTCAAATTCATCTTTGGTAATTATACGAAAAGATTTGGCAGAACTTTTTTTTACAACCTAACATTTGTACGACAAACTCAAGTCTGATTTGCTTTGAATAATTAGCCGAAGTTTTTCGGTATTTCTATGAGCTAAATGAGATAAAAAGGCCGCGGTTTTTTTAAATAAATAGATGTTACAAGCTTAACAAGCGAGACTTATGTAGTCCAAAATAAATGTAACGTAGCCAAAGATTCACTCCATAAAACAATTAGCAACGCTTTTCAAAGATATACTAAGATCAGGGCTCGGCATGAGGTGGTTTTTTCGAAACGAACTCCCCGTAGACTTCGCCACAAGAATACACCTATGACGCGGACATGAAAGGATAAAAACGAATAACGAGAAATTATGGAATAAAACATGAAGAAAACATTGAACAGACGGGAAAAAACTGAAAATGTCCTATCCTCCGAATTGCCTTAATTAGGCCACGAAGCCCCGCCCCGATGCCAAGCCAGTTAAATCAAATGGTATGTCTTTTTCTAAATATCTTCTGTTCTTTCCTGTTTCCGATATGTTCTTTCCTGTTTCCGATATATTCATGTTCGTGAATTCGGCAGCGATATGTTTTGCCTCAGCTCTCATCAGCATTCAATGCGCGATTTGCAGGACTTGCTTCGGGGGGGGGGTGTGAGGAGGCACGATCGGAGCGAATTTTCCGCGAAGCGACGACAGCAGCGTACTTCAGCCCTTACAACAGCAGTGCTTCTGGTGCAGTCTTACTTATAGCATTGAGTCATTTGCCCCCACCCTCACCTCCTATTTTTACCGCCGAAATCTCTATTGGCGCAGAGTCTTGGAGGCCCCAAGATTTGAGCGCGGCTGTGCGGAAGAGCGGACGCCGCGTGCGGAGTACCTTCTGACGTGCAGCGAACATCCTCTATGGTCTCTTACGTCTGGCTCTCGTGTAGCCTAGGTTGCTTCCGCCGGCAGGATGGCTGCGATCAATCCGCGTGCTATCAACTTGGGGGGGGGGACACGCGGATAGCGACAATGCGCGCAAAAAGCAAGCAGTATAAAATCGCTTTTGTCAACAAAATTTTACTTGTGGCATCGAGCCATGTATCTGCTCCCATCCCCCACCCCCTACCTTGGCGCCGTGTCACTTTAGCACCGAAGAGTTCTGAAAGGCACAAAATTTGGGGATTGTCGCCTTCCGCACCATACCCATCAAACCTGTCAATAAGCGATGGCTTGGCCCTTATGAAGGGGAGTTTATAGTGTAATGAGTGGTTTCAACTTTACGAATGGAAGACAAGCACTCAAAGAGCTACCATTGTTCATCCTATTAACAGAAAACAGAAACATTACACGGCTCTAAGGCAAACAAGAACAAGAAATGGAAAGTATAACTTGGTATTGCGGAAAAGCCGTTTGTTCTTCAGCATGGATTGCACACGTTAGCCTCGAATGCCTTCGGTCAACATTTGTTTCTTTCCGAAACTCGCAGCGATCAAGGAAGATAGCTCTGGATTCAGTTATTTATACCCTCAAGCAATCTCATCTCCCATAAAAAGCCCACTTCTGCTAACCTTCCTTTCCTTTTAGAAGTCAAACACTCAAAACTCTTTCTTCTTGGCATTCACCAGTTACGTTCATAGCTTATGATTTTCGCAATGCTGGATCCTTGATATTCTAAAACTCTTGTTCACCGAACTAGATTGATCGGCACCCCGCAAACTTAAGCACCGTCATGTGCCCACAAACTGCAAATCTCTACATATATGGAACACAAAGTTTGTAAGCACGCTTGTAAATATGACTCTTCTCTGCATGAATCGATTGAGCTGATTCGATCACGGAAAAGAATAAGAAGTCTTGCACCAATTCGCTGAGTCCCATCAATTTTTGGTTTTTTACACCTTACAATGAAAATGGTTTTTTTTCTAATAGCACTAACAAGTCATTTCCATTTCGTGCTAGCACTAGCATTGATTTCGCAGTGATAGGGCTTTGGCCATACTTTGCCCGTGTTACCGGTGTTGAAAGTGTTGCTAGTGTTGAAAGTGTTGAAAGTGTTGCCGGTGTTGAAAGTGTTGAAGGTGTTGTCGGTGTTGAAAGTGTTGAATGTGGGAATCATCAGTCTTGCAGTTTCATTCTTCCTCGAACGATCTCACCTGCTGGTGAGTTCGTCTAAGATGGAAATGGGAAATGGGAAATAGGAAATGAGACTGAAATGAAATAGGAAATGCTTTTGCAGAAGCTCCGCGAACAAACTTTTTAGAAAGTGAAGGACTTGTTTAAAAGAAACAATCTCCAACATTTGAGAACGCTGCGAGACCTCCCATAGGTCTTTTGCTCACTAATCGCAGAAGCGCCGATTCGGCACCTAACACGCATTCTCATCAGACTTTACATCTCAGGTGTTGGAGATTGCCTATTCAGAACAAGTCCTTCACTTTCCAAAAAGTATGTTCGAGGAGCTTTTGCGAAAGCATTTCCTATTTCTTTTCAGTCTCATTTCCTATTTCCCATTTCCCATTTCCATTCCAGACGTACTTACCAGCCGGTGAGATCGTTCGAGGAAGAATGAAACTGCAAGACTGATGATTCCCACATTCAACACCTTCAACACCGGCAACACCTTCAACAGTTTCAACACCGGCAAACCTCAGATTTTGACACAGATGGATAGGAGGCGCTCCAAGTGAACCAAAACAGCAACTCCGCGCCGAAAATGTGAACTCTGCAAGCCAGGGGGGCGGCCCAAGCGCCGCTCCCCTTCCTCCTTTCGCTCCCCTAACATTGTTCGGACGAGTATTCTCCGCTAGACGGCGCGGGACCCCCAACCGCTTTCCCGCATTGTGCATGCTATACAGAGCCAAAATTACAGGCAGCAGGGTCTTCGTGCCAGGGCCTCCCGACTTTTTTGAAAATTCTCGTCCGAGCTGCCTTTTGAAAATTGAAAAAAACGCCCCGAAAAAGGCCTTTTCACCGCTTTTAAAGCTCAGATTCGGGATCTACGGGTCGAGAAGGCCCAAAACATGCAAAAAGATGGAAATGCAAAGTCTGTCGAGCCGCTGCCTTTAACACGTTTCGGACCGCGAAATCGCCCGCGGCGAAAAAGAGGGTACTTTCAGCCGTTAACCAACAAAGGGACCCTGATTCGTAGACTGTGTGCTACATTTGTAATCAACATGTCAGATAAGATCCATACCCAAAGTTCTGAGTGAATTCAAAGTGTTTGAATTTTGCCGCTTCAGAAGGACTTCTGTGCTTTCTTGGAAGATAGGAACAACAACCCAGTTTCTAATCTTATATATAAAGCTGAATGTCTGTTTGTATGTCTGTCTGTCTGTATGTCTGTATGTATGTACGTATGTTCCGAATACAAATTTTTATTTTTAAACCGATCCGGATCAAACTTGGCACACATACACTTCGGGGCCGGGCGGGTGTCATAGGCTACTTTTCGTCATCGATCGATATCGATTTTATCGATTTTTATCGATTTTTTTGCTGAGTTCACCTACGGGGCTGGGAGTTGGCACAGGGGGGTAATCGAGCATGGGGATTCCGAATACAATATTGGTTTTCAGGATTATCGATTACTTTTATCGATTTTATCGATTTTTTTGCAAAGTTTGAGCTACGGGGCTGGGAGTTGGCACAGGGGGGTAATCGAGCATGCTGATCATCCCCAAGGGGGTGATCAGCATGCTCGATTACACTCCTGTGCCAAATTCCAGCCCCTAGCTCAAATTTTCAAAAAATCGATAAAATCGATAAAAGTAATGGACGATCTTGAAAACTAATATTGTATTCGTAATCTGCATGCTCGATTACCCCCTGTGCAAACTCCCAGCCCCGCAGGTCAAACTTTACAAAAAAATCGATAAAATCGATAAAAGTAATGGATGATCCTGAAAACTAATATTGTGTTCGTAATCAGCATGCTCGATTACCCCCCTGTGCAAAATCCCAGCCTCGCATGTCAAAATTTACAAAAAATCGATAAAATCAATAAAAGTAATCGATAATTCTGAAAACTAATATTGTATTCGGAATCCCTATGCTCACTTCCCCCCTGTGCCTACTCCTAGCCCTGTAGGTGAACTCTGCAAAAAAATCGATAAAAATCGGTAAAATCGACACCGATCGATAACGAAAAGTGGACTGTGACACCCGCCGGGGCCCGAAGTGTATGTGTGCCAAGTTTGGTCCGGATCGGTTAAGAAATGGAATTTTCTATTCGGAACATACGGCGGAGCCGGGTAAGCCAGCTAGTACTATCGAAAAGTATCTATGTTGTACACAGTACGCATCATTACTGAAACCACGGTTCTTCTCTTTGAAATAGGAGCAAAGAAAAGTGGGTGTATGTCGTAAGGCGCGGATTTTCTTGCGGCGGCCGCGCAGGCCCCCGTTGCGGTCGCCGCGGCAGTTCAGATTCACTCGGTAAACTCGTCCCACTCTGCCGTCTGCCTGCTAAGCCTAAGCCTAAGCCTAAGCTATTATATTTACCTGGTTTTTGGAAAAGCTCCTTCCTACGTGCTTCTTATTTGATATTCGCCAAAAAATGATGTGATTTTCTGGAATCTATCAATCCCTCACAAAATCAAGCTGCGAAATATCAGTGGTCATAGGTTTTAGTACTTCCTGTAAGGTATTTTCGTAAAGTTTCTGTCCTCTTATGTAATATAGGACTTCGCGTAATAAATTTCATCTTCATACTAATCTCATTGTTTCGAAGTTGGCGTGTTTTTTCGATGTTTGTTAAAGGTTTTCACATCTGCAAATATAACACTGCTTTTATGAACTCAACTTCTCATAAAGGAATGACTCATTAGTAATATTTTGTTGTTTTAGCACGAAAGTCATAATGTTATTCTGGAATGGAGCAATGGCTACATTCAGCATGATGGGAACACGGCGACCTGGATTAGAATTTTTCAACATGTTATGGACAAGGTGAGGATTTTATGATAGGCGTTATCTCTTTTTTCGTTCTCCTTATCTGTAATGATCGTTTTTTATGTTCCATTTGTTGTTGCAGAATTTGTGCAGATTTCGCCAAAAAGAGTTTCTGAAATTTTTTTCATTATGTCGATTAAGCCTAATACTACATCGTCCTACTCATAGTTATTCTCAGATTAGCATCGTTTCAAGTAAAATTATCGCTCTACAACTCATTTACTACTTTCACGATGGAAAACTTTTTCAATTGCAGAATCCTCTAATTGCAATCGCGTTGCTCTTTCTTCCCTTGACGCATTGCTCCATTAGCAATCCATTTCTCTCCGAGCCATTACATTACATGTATGGACTAGCGACCCTGCGGGTCGCTATAAGTGGATCGAAGCACATGTTTCGAAAATTTGTGCATCTCAATGGCATCTTCCTGAATTTTATTTTACTTGAAAAGAATTTCCGCCGAATCATTAAATTTGCTCCAAGGTAGATTCTTTATCGGGTGGAAACATCTGAAAAAGTTTTTTTGGACTGATACTCTACCCTAAACTTTGAGCCTTTTCATTTTGCGGGACTCGTCAATAACTCGCTTTTCTACAATTATAGGTGAGGTTACCCCACAAAACGTCTACAAAGCAGATTTTTGATGAGATAATGGAGCCTGTAATGAACGCACTTCCCGAAAAGATTCCTCTCGCTCGAAAGCATGACCTCCATCAATGAGATCCTCACTCACGCGCTTCGCTTTAAACAAGAAAGAACAGAATTTCCTGAAGTGAGCGCGCTCAGAACAATTTTTTCTATAGGTTTTGCGATAAGGCAACACCAAGTCACCCCCCGTAGTGACCTCTCTGAAAAGTCAGCCGCCACCGAACAACGAGATCCTGTTACTCTTATCCTTACAAAAAATTTTTTTTTCGATAAATGCCCTTCGACCATCGATCAAATTTTGCCAATTATGTACGAAAACGTTACCCGCTATAATCCTTTACAGAAAGCCTCCACCAGCCAGACCCAATCATCAAGCTTTCTTTAAAACAGGAAGACCTTTCAAATGAACGCTCATCTCTACCAGCGAGACACACTTAAATGCTTTACTTTCTTCAAAGAAAAGCAGATTTTTCTAAATAAGCGCTCGTTTCCAACCGCCTTTCCTACAGGATAAGAGATGCTTTACCTAGCAAAAGCACATTTCCACCAGCGCGCCAGCCAGACCCACTATATAATCCCAAGTAAAAGCTCATTTTCAAAAGAAGATCCAGTTACCGCTGGTGGGATTTCTTCAAATAAAAACTAATCTTCACCAGCGGAACCCTCTAAAAGCTTTTTCTTCCACACGGAAAACCATAACCTAAGTAAAAGTTGTCCTCCACAACGGGCCCCAGTACTTCAAACGTGGTTTTTTCCTATGTGAAGGCCCATCTCCACCAGCAAAACGCAGTTACCCAAAGCGTCAAATTTTCACAAGTGAACCCTTTCCTCCACCAGCGAGACCTAGTCATTCAAGCGTTGGATTTTTCCAAGTGGAAGCTTCTCCACCAGCGAGACCCAGTTACCCAAAGCATTGAATTTCGCCGAGTAAACGCTTTTTTCCACCAGCAAGACCCTATCCGAAGCGTTGAATTTTCCCAAGTGGAAGCTCATCTCCACCATCGAGACCCAATCACCCAAAGTGCCGCTTTCCTCCACCAACGAAACCCAGTCATCGAAGCGTTGGATTTTCCCAAGTGGAAGCTCATCTCTACCAGCGACACCCAGTTACCCAAAGCGCCGCTTTCCTCCACCAACGAGACTCAATCATCGAAGTGTTGGATTTTCCCAAGTCGAGGCTCATCTCCACCAACGAGACTCAGTCATCGAAGTGTTGGATTTTACCAAGTCGAAGCTCGTCTCCATCAGCGAGACCCAGTTACCCAAAGCATTGAATTTCGCCGAGTAAACGCTTTTTTCCATCAGCGAAACCCACTTATTTATGCGTTGGATTCTCCCAGATGGAAGCTCATCTCCACCAGCGAGAAACGTTACCCAAGGCATTGAATTTCGCCGAGAAAACGCTTTCCTCCACCATCTAGAGCACTTACTGAAGCGTTGGATTTCCCCAAGTGGAAGCTCATTTCCACGAGTGAGATCGTTACCCGAAGCGTCGCTTTCCTCCACCAACGAGACCCACCCATTCAAGCGTTGGATTTTTCCAAGTGGAAGCCCATTTTCATCAGCGAGACCCAGTAACATACCCAAAGCGGGCTTACGCTTTCTTTCTATTAGGTCATCCCAAAAGTTTTTTCATACATTCGTACCTCCAAAATGATATTTCTCTAGAACTAAGGCATTTAATAGGGCGCAAATTTGTGGGAGTATTCTTGAGTGAATGAGCTATATAATGACACATTGCGAGGAACATAGACTCATTACAGGCAAAGTTTAAAAATTAAGGGCTTTATTTTTTTTCTCGATTTCTAGCCGTCAGAAAAATGCAGTAAGTGTATATATAAATGTCTGATGGGGAAAATGTATGCGTGAGCAAGTGAGAACTTTGCAGAATTTTTTGAACTAAGATATGATTTTTTTTTTCGTAATTTTGGATTTTTTTCCATTTTGTCTTGAAACTGATGCGAATCAAACCTGGTGCGAACTTTTGAGAGCCATATTGTAGGGCTTGCTTTACTCTTTCGAATGGTACTCCGCTTCTCAACAGAAGTCTAAGAAGAGCAGTTATGCTGGTGAAAAGTCTGATATGAAGAAACTTTTGGGATGACCTAATATATAACAGGGATCATTTTCACAAACATACACTCGTGTCCACCAGCAATACCCAATTACTCGAGCAGTTTCAATTCTGGAAGCGAAAGCAAGATTAGCCTGAGATAAAACCTCGTCCCCACCAGCGACACCCAATTACACAAATTAATCTTTCTACAAGTCCATCAGATAACATTTTTGATCAAAATTTCCGACATTATCTGCGCTGCGTAGTTATCTAAGTGTTTTTTCTTTTGAGGCGTCGCCTCTGACAAGAGGACGCAGTTTCACGCTTTTCGGAATACAACAAAAGTTAGATTTTCTTAAAAGCTTGGAAAAGCAAATTTCCATCAAATTCGCAGTATTTCCTAAACATGCTCCGAAAAGCATCAGGTTTTGGCTCTACCATGAAACCCACTTACTCTGTGCGATATAGTTTTTGTGTAAGCAGAAAAGAACGAAACAAAAAAAACGATAAATAAACGTAAACGCACAAAGGCAGAAACATAAACTGGAAATGTTGAAAATCTTCACCACCTGCAAGCAAAAGATTTTAGTAGATAAAACCTACGTGAGACGATGCGGCAACAACCTTGCACGAGGCGACTTTTCATGATAATGGCGACATAGCATATTGAACCTCGACCAGGGGAACATTTGCCTCGTTATTTTATGGATGTTGCTCAAGGATAGCATATGTAATCATGTGACTTATGGGAAAACATCATCTTTAGACTGTTGATATGCCACACGTGATGGTATGTTTACAGTCTGATCTGTGGAATTTGTCCTTAGGCGACAGCTATGCGCGAAAAAAATTCGAGACGGTTTGGTCGGTACAAATGAAAACATGTCTCATATTGAATACACAAGGGGCGTGTCCGCATCTCGTCTGGCTTCTCCTCGTCTACCATCTGCTATCGTTTAGGGAAAGTGCACGAATTCATGCTTTTATACGTAGTGATTGAGTCGCATCTTTTTCGCCGTGCGTAGTAAGTTATTTGTAAATTCTCATAGTAGATATTCTACGAACATGCGATCTACTGCACACCACACCTATTTACTATCGGAAAGTAGTTTCGCAAGTGAACTTTTCGCACTTCTAAGTAAGTAAACTGGGTCTTATGTCGCCTTTGATACTTTTTTCTTAGTTCAAAATCGCTTAGCTCAACTCTTAACTCAAATCAATTCAGTTGTTCGCTTTAGGTGTGCAGCTAGCTCATAACGAGAGACCTGAGTACCGTTTTACCGCTTTATGTGGAATGGATGAACGCCGAGTGGAAAAGGCGGTAGGCCCGGTGCTCTAAGCTCTTGCTGATCTCGCCATGGAGAATGCAAATGGACTTTTTATTGAGTAAGAATTAGCAATTTTTTTTCTCTCTATAGTCATTTGTGCATGAGAGTTGTTCCAGTCGAGAGCGACATGAGCAATCTTTCATGAGATTGTGGAAAACGCTAAGAAACGTCGGCGACTGTGGAAAACCAGCGAAGTATGGACAAAACTAAGTGACCGAATGGCGCAGGTCTGTTTTCTTAGAGCCTTTTTCTACATTACATTTATGATTCTTGTTCAGATGAAACAAGGGTTAGGCGAAATCGCCGCTTCATTAGACAAATCAAACTAAGTCGAATTGAAACAAGAAGCTGGCACTGAAGGAAAAGATTATGATTACGGTAAATGTGATCTGATCCAACGTTCTAGTCCAGTAGTAGTAATGTTTTATCCATTGCAAGTTGTTTGAAAAGCTTGTTGCTTGTTATGAATCTCATCAATACGTTCAAATGAACTTCTTCATATGCATTAAATCGTTAAAACCAAAATTAATGAGGTCATAAAAATGAGAACTGGGCAAAGCAACTTCAACATCTTAATTAATGGGTCAAACCTAAAACTCTAGCAGAATCTTAGGACTTCAGAAACAAACAACAAATTAAAGCACTTCTGTACATCTGTAACAATATTATTATGGCAATGCTAAAGCGGAAAGGGGTAAGGCACGATATGAGAGCACCGATGATAACGAAGATACACCGCACTTTACGAGATCTGATTGTGTTCGACGATCCCCCAAAACCTGAGTTTAGAAATTTGGTATTCATGAGCGAATGGATCATAGCTGTAGTACGGCTGCATTTTATCATCTTCATAAAGGATTTTCCATTTTTGCAACTTATAGTCAATTTTTCTCTGAAGGAACGCCCGTCTGTAAATCATACATTTCAGATATTCAACCGCAAAATCAAAAGAAAGATTTGAAAAACTACCGCTTAGGTTATATCTACAAGGTAATCTTCGATGTTCATTATAGTTTCCAAAAAATTTAGAATCTCGGGGTCCCTTTCGCGATCACATTCCTGCAGCTTTGCTGCTCGGGCCAAAAAATCCTGAAAAACCATACATGGAGACCTGTGAGCCTAATACCAGCCATTAAAGCATGAGCACTGTGATACAAACGACAGACACATGAAGCAGAGTAGAAATTTTATGAAAACAAATCGACAGTGAGAATTCTTGTTTGCAAAAACTGAACTAAAGTTTCAATTCCAAAAAATATGACCCTTCTTTCCAATTCACAGCTACTTGAAAATTCGACAAAAAACTCGCAACTAGACTAGTTCCATCTGCGCATACTTCGATTTTCTCTGCTGACCTCGGCTGGCACTAACTCTCGCATTTCACGCGGTTTCCCAGGTGTTCCACATACTCTCCCTCAATACGTCTAGCCGAGGTTGTTTATATGCAGAGAGCGCTATTTTTACTTGGCTAAGCATCAAAGTTCTAGTAACAAGGAGATCTTAAGAGGAAAGCATCGAAGAGCTGTGGACAATGGCGAAAAAAGAAACAGAATATAAAAAGACATTTTGAAAAGAATAAAAACTACAAATTCATACACCATACCTGTCTCTCAACGATGCGAGCATCGACATTCGGAGCGACCATCTCAATGTGCGCGTCTAGCTCTTCTGAGGAATCGTACTCGTGGTGAAGAACTTCTGGCCTCTGAAAATGATGACAATCAAGCAAAGTCGCGTCACACATCACAAATCAGCTGATGAAGATAACATAAACTCTGAAGAACATGAATGCTGTCGTAGTACTGCGACGGAAAATCCAGCAGTGTATCGATTGGAGGAGTTAGTGACGCAGAGTCCCGCATTGCGCGCCATCAAGGCCGACTTGACGCGCCTTGCGCGTGCCACCGGACGGCAGAGTGGACGAGTATAACGGGCAGATTTCAAACTGCCGCGGCACCGCAACGCGCCCTGCGCGACCGCCGTACGAAAATGCGCGCCTTACGACCGTCTCCCAAGAAAAGTTGCGATGTCGCACGCGTCGTTCGCGTTGTCGCACTTCGTTGCAACATTTGTTCGATTTGTCCTCATATCTTCTAAACAAAAACCGTCGACACAGCTCTACAGTGTCGCTTGAAAAGGAGGAGCTTAGGCCTTTGATTTGATAACCTTGGACAAAAAGAAAACCTCCTGCAAAGATTGAAAAGATTCTTCAAAGCAGCGTGCTGCACCATGTGCAGCAGGTCCGAAACGTGTTAAGAAAAATTTGCAGAGGAATTTTGAACTGTAACGCTCCTATTTTCTCGGGTTTCTTGGAACAAAAGACGAGTGTCGGCTAAAAGTTCGTAACAGCGACTAAGCTAATACCTCTGTGATTCTGCATGAAGCTATGACAATTTGATCGCAAAATTTGTAAATTGCTTATTACTTTTACCTTAACCTGTTACACCTACATAAAACTCATCTCCAAATAATTACTAGGTTGTTAACTGCAACTGAGTCAGTAAATTCTCGCTTTGAGCATTGGTGGCTTACTTTTTGGCACTTATAGACTGTGACGTATGAGAAAACAGGGAAATTCCAAGGATTTTCGAAAACTGGCGAAATTCGGAGATTTTTGGGGCTATGAGTAAAAATGAAGCAGTCTTCTTAGGTCCTAGATCATGCACAACGATCCGATACTGTACGTGAGTTGTTGCTAGAGGTTGACTTATTTAGCACAATAGAAAAGAAACGGAATTCGAGTACGAGTCGAGACCCAGCGCCCTCACAGAATTGAACGAGTCGCTGTACACAAGACTGCGATGAAACTTTACATGGTGGGGTTATTTGACCAGCCGAACACAAATGTCATAATTTATTCGTTGCATTAATGCCTCTCTTCTTGTTCAAGGTGAGAGCCCATGCAGTTAAACCTACAGTAATCCTACAGAAAAGTCCACCGTGCAAATTCAGCATCGTTCTCCTGATCTGTACGTCACATACCCCCCCCACGTCAAGTTTTAGCCAAGTTGTAATATCTAGAATTTTTCTCCTTGTACCATGCACCTACCGTAACCATACTGCGACGTCAGAAATTGGCAGAAATCTAGCTGCGCTTGTAGCTTACGTCATAGACTACATAATGGCAGATTTTGAGTGCTTCATATACAAGGAGAGAAAACATATAAAAGTGTTGCAAAACTTAGTAACGTAATAAAAAGATAAAAGGATGCTTCAAAATGTTGTCACGAAGTGGAAGTTTAGAAGAAGAGAGGAGCGGTCGTTGTTGGATTTTTTGGTGGTTTTTGACGTTTACAGTAGGTTCCGCAGTCGATATAGCTAAAGATATTGTTACTTGATTATGCCACGTCCCCTGTATGACGAGAGAACTATCTCTTTTGATTATGTCACGTCCACTCATTCATTTTGAAGAATATATCCGCTTTTGTCATACATAATTAATATTCGTGGTCTATCATGCATTTTTCCTCAATCACTGTTTCCGATCAAATTTTCTAACTATAATTGATTGTCATCCCTAAAAAACTTTTGTTCCTTTGAGCTGTTCCGACTATACATGGCTGACGCTTTCTTTCAATTTAATCAGCAAGCTTGTGACAAACGTCACATTTTCATTCAAGTTTTGCAAAAACTCAGCGAGTTCTCCCACCAGAAAATTTGCTTAACCTGCTGGGATCGTCTTCACAAACGAAGCCGTTCATATAATTTACAATATTCCAACAGAACGATAATATTTTGGAGCGAAATCTCAAGAGCACGTTGGATGCCGATGTACCTTCTGGTCAAGCCTAGCAGGACACTTTTAGCGATGCTTGCCGTATCAAACTTTGTCATGCAGAAAAACTTATTGGACCCGTTTCCATGCACTTCTGCTACAATACGGTGTGGTCGACCGTTTCGTTCTTGTCCACCAATTTCAGTGCAGGGCTTCCTGCCCGTCTCATAAAAAGTCTTGTTTAGAAACACCTTGTTTAACCTTGGTCTTTGACTTGACCAATATTCGTGTCTTGTGCGAATGCCATTTTCCATATCTTTTTATAGGATTTGATCGTCGCGATTCAGTCGTTACAAGACAATTGTTACGAGTTCATTGCATGCCGATCAGCTTGCATTTCGGTTGTGATACTTTTACAGCTCGAAATTTTTGAATGTAAAATAAAAATGAATGAAAATCAAGGCGACTAAATCGCGACGATCAAATCGCGTGAGCTCTGTCCGAGGCCTATGAGAAAAAAATGTGCAAGTCTCGGGATTGCTCATTTTTGCCTTTTGAGAATTTCTGGAAGTTGCGAATTCAAACTAATTAGGTTAGTCATTGAATAATAGTTGGTTCCAAGAAGCATACTCAGCCAGCTTTTTCATTAATAGATGCATTGCAGCAAAACGACTGCTCTGCAAAGAAGAGAGAAGAAGAGTCAGAATTGTACAGATATATAAGACTCATATGAACAGACCTTGCATGTAGACTATACTACGCCCTGCTCATAATAGTGGATTGGGCCTTTTCGAGGAGTGTTTAAAACTTGCTTGCATTACATGTACAGATCCAGCGAATGCTCTTTCGAATCAACTGCAATCAAATCAGCAAAGTTTTTTGCATTTTTCATTTTTGCATCTGTCTTAAGATGTGTCATATGCTTTTGTCCAAGGCCAATTCTACATTAATTATAAGCTCTTGGATATTGGCACTGTCCCATGAAGTAGTTTTCACTTACCTTTTTGATTCTTACCTGTTGCCTTCACTGCCGTGGCTGGCCATGTGTTGTGGCTAGCCTCTCTTCTGCGCATGTAACCTTACCATCGCAGTCTCTTTTCGCACATCTTCTTGACAATGAAAGCGACTTTGTTTGGGGTCATTGCAAATGTGGTCCTTCAGAGTAAAATTGAACCTGCAGCATTCGTATGACTATGACAGTAAGCTTGCACTTCGTACAGCAGACGTCTACTAACCAGCTCTGCTGTCCTCATGACGGTCTATCATGATTTGAACTGCACTAGTTTTGTCGCACAGAACTCTTGCAAACTCTCATTTATTCACGCTTCTGCTTAGTACTGCTATCTTATCTTACAAATCTCTTCCTGCTGACAACGAGATGTGACTTCATAGGTACTACAAAGTGTTTTCTTCAGTTCTTCACCGCTGATACATATAGTTCTTGCAGGTATATATTCTGGTTTTCGGTATTGAACGTAAACCATACAATTGCAGTGTGGTTTCCATTTCTGCTCATCCTTCAGCACACGACACTGCTGGCTCTTAGAGGTCGTTTGTGCAGAGCATCAACAAGGAGACTAACGTCAGGAGAATTTTATGACGGACTTGACTGTAATAAAGGAAAGGGGAAGGGGTACCAACTTTGTACTCATTTGAATCTCTCCGTTCGTACCAGTCATACGTAACCTGAGGCGTCGCGCTAAACTTTCCTGTCCGACATACATGTTCCTGTCCCACCGTATGTCTTCATGAAATATCTGATTAAAAGCCGGTAATGGTCAAGAAAACTGTATGGTCCTTTTGCAAACTTGTTGCATGCCATTCCATGACCACTAGTCCGCGAGGGCAGTGCAAACTGTCGGCGTTCGTTCCTTTCCCATCATGTGCGAGCTGAATGTTATTGACGTGTTTAGTTCTTTCTCACGACCGCATCCAATTTGACAGCCAATGATTCGGGGTCGCGTTTCAGTTGTACAGTTGAAGATGTTTAGTGTGTTTCTAGAATCGGCCGGTGTAAGCAGTCTGCAATACCTTTTTTGCTCTTTCATATGGAAGTCGTTATGCTATCTTTAGTCGTTATACCGTACCAGCCGTGAGGCTTACGGCATGATTTGATCGAGGAGAAAATCTAGCTAGGAACTTCGGATTGTCTACATATTTTGTAGTCACAAGGGAAGCGTGTTCAGTCGAAGTGGCCTTTTCAGATGAGACCCATACTGCTTTGAAGAATACTGCACGATGCCTTCCACATATGCCAAGCGCCTCCTGGACACCGAGTTATGACCAGGGTCAAGCAAAGGGTGTGGCGTGGCACACGATCGCTGGTTACGACCCCCCCCCCTTCCCCTGATTGCTGTCTTAATAAGACCCCCCCCCCCCGAATTATATAAGATAGCAGATAAGATAGCATTACCTGAAGACCCTGTCAAACATAATGGGCAACATATCCATAATGACATGTCTCATTAACCCCTGTAGTCAAAGTTTGAGCGATTTCTGAAGATTCATGATACTAGGCTAGCTAAGTGAAATGGTCATTTTCCAACATGACTAACTTTGTTTCAAAGGTGAATTAGCTATCCGTATTTGCATTCTAGACAAAGCACTACTCCTTTTTTGCCCATCTCAGAAATCCCGCTTCAAAAGACCTCCAAACTGTGGAATTAGAAGCCAACCAAAATCCCATTTTTCCCATTTTTCGCTTTCAATGGTTGTGCTTTCACCAAATATTACTCAGAGCTAAGAAGACGAATAGGACTTAAAACATTCCTTTGGAATCTACGAGATCTAGGCTATCGATTCATATGAATATTGTTCGCTAAAAATGGGCAGCCACAGTTTTTAAAGGCAGTGTCCAAGCAAAAAGTCGATTTCGAGATTTTGTGCTTACCTGGGCCTATTCGCCATGCTGAATCCGAAAATCAACACTGGAGAACGCGAAAACGGCGAAAAAGACTCCAACCGAGGGGGGAAATTGCAGGTGGGCGGGGCTGTTCACATAGTGGCGTCACTCTCCCAGCTTCAGGAGCGATCTTCTCGCTACCGCTAATCGCCCTAACATCACCACCAGCCAACTGCGAAACGCATGAGATAAAATCGGAACCGAGAAGGTCGCTCCTGAAGTCTGGAAGAGTGACGTCATGGTGTGAACGGCCCCGCCCACCTCCGATTTCCCTCCTGCGTTAGGGCCTTTTTTCGCCGTTTTCGCGCTCTCCGAAGTGGTTTAACGGATTCAGCATGGCGAATAGGCCCGGGTAAGCACAAATTCTCAAAGTTGACTTTTTACTTGGACACTGCCTTTTGAGGGGATGTGCCACACCCATTAACTATATCAAAAAAAAACATTTTTAGGGAACAAAATTCATATGAATCGATAGCCTAAATCTCGTAGATTCCAAAGGAATGTTTTAAGCCCGATTTGTCTTCTTAGCTCTGAGTAATATTTGGTGAAAGCGCAGCCATTAAAAGCGAAAAATGGGATTTTGGTTGGCTTCTAATTCCACAGTTTGGAGGTCTTTTGAAGCGGGATTTCTGAGATGAGCAAAAAAGGAGTAGTGTTTTGTCTAGAATGCAAAAACGTATAGCTAATTCACCTCTGAAACAAAGTTAATCATGTTGGAAAATGACCATTTCACTTAGCTAGCTCAGTACCTTGAATCTTCAAACTTTGTCTACAGGGGTTGAATGACGTGCTCATTATGGATATGATACGAATATCATGTTATCACTATTATCAGATCACCCAACTACGACCCCCTCCCCTTTTGACTCCTCAATACGACCCCCAGGTATGGCGTGCCACACCCCACGCTTGACCCTGCTCATGACCGTTTTTCGGAAAAATGGGTGCAGAATTTAGGTAAAGTTGATTGTTACAGCTTTTCCAGTTCTCAGATAAAGCAATTTAAGTATCAGCATGTTAGACAAGATGTGTCCATTGCATAAACTGCTCTGATGCTTGACACTGGACCATTCGAGCAAATTTTGGCAAATTTGATTCAGTTTTGCGTTCAATTTTTTTGACCTGAAAAACGACCATAACTCGGCGTCTAGAGGCGCATGGCAGATTTGGAAAGCAGATTTGGAACCACCGCTTGATGCTCTTCAAAGCAGTACGGGTCTCATCTGGAAAGGCCACTTCGATTAGACACGCTTCCCTTGCAGTTAAGTGTAATTGTATTTCAAAATTGTAGTTGCTCAAAACTTTTATCTAAGTTAAACAAGCTCTCTGCTACCCGGAGGCACTAGGTTGGCCTCAGAGTCATTTGGAAAATGCAAAGCTGTTGGTGATTGGTTGATCCGCGCAAGACACTTTAGAGGCTCGAATGCCTTCATTAGTCTTTTCGACTATAAAAAACATTTTTGGCGCTCAATAAAAGCTTTGAAGAAATTCCCAAATTTTTTTTCGTACTCTACGCTTCTAAATAGTAGTACAGTCGGTTTCATCCCGGATAAGGCGGAATATTCTGCGACGAGCGGCGCGTGCGCATCGCTGGAGGCTTCGCGAGCGCATAGCGCTGGCATTTTGCCAAGCAAAGACTGAGGGGAATGAAGAGACGCAGACATGGGTTCTCAGCACGATATGATGTACTGTAGCTGCGAAACGACTCGAGCCGTTGGGAGGCGGACGCCCGCCAGTCCAATTTCCGCCTAAAGCGGATTTAAACTTACTGTACTGATGCAAAGAGTAGACTCGATTTTTGTCAGTTTAGCGTATTAAACGCTAAAATTGCGTGTTGCGACAAAGGTCACTACGAAAGTTACTTTGTACAAATTCAGGTAATAGGAAAGAGTTGTGAGGAACAAAGAGCAAAGTTAGTTAGATGTCTAGATCTAGGCCTTGTATACAAGTAGCGCGATTTCTCGAAAAAAGCCGCTCGCAAAATTTTTGAAAGTTACTTACATGGGTTATAAAAAATGTGCAAATGACTTGTTTATACTTGTAAATAATTAAAATAATTTTTAAAATTTTTTAAAAATTCAAACTAGCCTTGCAAAAAAATTTTTTTCGGGAGCGTGGCGTCAGCCACGCCCCCTTTTTCTAAAATTTCGGGGTTCTAAGCCCCGAAAAATTTTAGGGAACATACCAAAAAATTTTTTGGAGTGCGTAACTGACGCCACGCACCATCATTAGAAAAAAATTTTTGTCGCCCCCCCCCCCCCCGAGCCGAAATCCTGGGTACGCCACTGGCATAGACGCATAGCTTTTGTAAGCTTATGCATACACGCCAAATCCTGCTTACGAGTACGCGCACTAGGGAAGATTATGAACAAACGTAGCGACTAGATGGCGCGGCGACGAGTATGGCCGGTCCCTTATGCTTTCCTGCTGAACTGTAGACCTTAGGTTCGACTTCTGAGGCAAAAATTTTGTACAAGTTTCAGCGTCAGGATGTTTTTTCCAGAGAAGGCCGCGCGACAAGCCTGCTCTAAAGCACATCAACCGACAGACACGTCGTAAATAATCAAGTGAAGGCTCTGGCGTTCCCGGAAGCGACGCGCGCAAGACCGATAGGTGAAATAGTAGTGGAAGGTCACCTTACAGCAAGGTAAGAGACGATTCAGATTCTTGCAGAATATGGTGACGCCCCATCGACGTTGGTACACAGGTACCTCAGCGGCACATACGCAATGCGCGCTCCATTGACACTTTTCATTTTACTCATGAGCAAAAAGCATTTCTACGTGATGATAGAAGTGAAAGAAGAAGTGAAACCCCTCTAATCTCAGCTGGAGAAAAGCCTAAGCAAACAAAATGTTGGGTACTTCCCTAACAGTTTGTGATCAATCTCATGGATACTATGTAACATTTGATTCAACTGGCTTGGCACCATTAGGGCGGGGTTTTGTGATCTAATTGAGGCCGCTCGCGCTCGCGATGCACCTGCGTTTCTCTCGCGCGAGTGCTCTCTGATCATTACCTAGCCTTAATTAGGTCGAGAAGCCCCGCCTTTGCCAATGCCAAGCCAGTTGAATCAAATGGTAGTATGATACTACTGGGTGAATGAAGGGTGAAAATCATAGAAGTAACAGAGAGAGAGAGGATGAAACGTATTCCTTCTCTAATCATAAAAAAAAACTAACAAGAAAAGCTTGTTTAGTCGAGTCTTTTTGAATATGATTTACACCATATTGTAGGGCATAACATGCTGATTTCAAACCTGCCTTCTTTATCTGCAGAACGTTTATGCACTAGGAGTTATGAGCGTTTCTAGAAAAAAATGAATTGCATTTTGGATGAAAAGAATCAAAATCTTACTAGCCCTGAACTAATCCAACAAAGTGTGATATATTAGGTTGTTACATAAGTCTTGTTACACTTAACTTCTAACGGCGATAAGTCATATACCTCATAATCTTTGCAGGACTCCAGGGTACCATTGGATAGAGCAAAGCAAGCTCTACAAGATGGCCTGCAAAGTTTCGCACCAACATCGACCCACGTTAACTTTTAATCCGAAATCTGAGTCGTAGTGAAGGCTCAAAAATTGCGAAAAATTCATATCTTTGTTCAGAAAAACCCTACGAATCTCCAACTTGCTCATAAAAATTGCACACTATATCAGACACTCATATGTACCGTTGCTGTATTTTTTCCTCATACAGAAATCGAGAAAACGAAAATTTTCTTGTTTTTACAAAAACGAAGCTATGCTGTTTCTTTTTATGTAGCTGTATACTACAAGCCCTTAGAAGTATGACCGTAAATTTTCAGCTTTCCGGAAGCCCTAGTTTTCGAAAATTACCTAATTTAGTATTGAACACCCGAGTAAAAAAGCTAAATTCGATCTTCGAGAACTAGGGCTTCTGGAAAGCTGAAAATTTACGATTATACTTCTAAGGGCTTTTAGTATACAGCTACATATAAAGAAATAGCATAGCTTCGTTTTTGTAAAAACAAGAAAATTTTCGTTTTCTCGATTTCTATATGAGGAAAAAATACAGCAACGGTACATATGAATGTCTGATATAGTGTGCAATTTTTTTGAGCAAGTTGGAGATTTGTAGGGTTTTTCTGAACAAAGATATGAATTTCTCGCAATTTTTGAGCCTTCACTACGACTCAGATTTCGAATTCAAAGTTAACATGGGTCGATGTTGGTGCGAAACTTTGCAGGCCATCTTGTAGAGCTTGCTTTGCTCTATCCAATGGTACCCTGGAGTCCTGCAAAGATTATGAGGTACATGACTCATCGCCGTTAGAAGTTAAGTGTAACAAGACTTATGTAACAACCTAATATTTTTTATTCTAGGGTATTGCTTGAATAAAGTGCTCTGATGATTACGATTGCTTAACTGAAGAGCCAAAAAAAGTATTACGGCTATTTTTATCCTACTTGCATAATCAATTTTTTGCTCCAATAAGCTCTCATACTTCTCATTCATAAACGCTCTGCAGATAAGTAAGGCAGATTTGGAATCAGCATTTTATGCCTTTTAACATGGTGTTCATCACATTTAAAAAGGCCACTTTGACTAAACATGCATTCCTTGTCAGACTAGAGAAAACCAATCAGGCGCCACTATTGTAAGTTCCGAAGTTTAGGCTGTTGAATAAATCTATTCCCGCCGCCTACCCTCGCGATTCACGTAATAGCGCATAAGCATGCTACTGTAACCCTATAATTTCGCAGTATCTTCCACTTGCATAAGTAAGGAAAAAACTGTATCCTTCCCTAGGAGAAACGGTTTCGAGCGAAAATACCGCCACGCGGCGAAAAAGGCTTAGCAATGGCAATGATATAGAAACACAGATATATGGAATGCTCTAAAGGTAAGTTAATGAGGATGCGGCACAACCTTTGAAAAAAAAGTAACAGCCACAGCTTTTTCGGGAAGTGCTCCACCAACTTGCCTCCGAAGGTATTCTAGCAAACAAAATGTATAAAGTCTCATAGCCCAAATCTTGTAGTTTATGTAGATAATTAGAGTTGAACTTTCTTCTTTCGTTTGTGCAATAGCTGCTGAAAGCATGACCATTGTGGCTAAAAATGGGCAAATGAGATTTTGACTGGCTCTTTTATATTAGGTCGTTCCGAAGTTCTTTCCGTTTTTTCACCCTATCATGAAAGCACGTGGAAAAAGATTGGGAAAAGCTTTAAGCAACCCTTTAAGCACTACCCGACGCAGTTTTTCTCCCCCCCCCCCCCTTTTAACTTTCATACGATAATCGCAAAATTTCGAACCCATGGTTTTCCCTTGTCCAAATGGCAAATTTTTAGTACCTTTTTTTCGAGCTTTTGAAAGATTCGATGGCAGTTACGTAGCATAAACAAAGCGCAATGCAATGCAACTTTATGACAATTTAAATTAGCTTTGCGGTATTCTTTAAAACAGCTTTTCCAGAAGTCTTCACTTTTTCGAAGTCACAAAGTACATAACGCTCCCAACACTAACAAATACTTGATTTGAACCTTTTAAAAGTCAGTTACGATTATCCACTATTTTTAGAAAGCAACTGGGGGTTTATCGCTTTAAAACATAAGATTTCGTATTTTACTTGTACAGGCTGGAGCGGGATCAAAATCAAGAAGTATGGATATTGTATAGCCAAAGATTCCACAAACTGGAGAGAAAAACATTCAACAGAAAGAGGAGGAAAAGCTGCATCGAATGACTTATTAGTTGTGCGTCGTTTCATGTTCTATGGTTCTTGACATCACCCAAAGTAAAATTCGAAACATCAGAAAAATAATTCCAACTTTTAAAGTCTAGCTATAGATGCCGAAATGTATTACATTGCACTTTGTTTACTCTTCTATCTGTTATTGATGCATTTCTGGAAGTCAAAAACGAAGAGTATGAAAATTGCCAAACTTACACATGGTAAAAACCATGGATTAAAAATTTTGGCGGTTAACTCAATGACCACAAGAGCAAGCGCCACAGATTATGACAAAAAGGGGAAGAAAAGCTGCGTTGGGTACTGCTATCTTCGTTCCACATGTTTTTATAATAGGTTGAAAAAACGGAAAGAACTTTGGAACCGACCTAATAGTTTGATGGTTGTTTAAAGCATCATGGTCCAAGCAAATAGGGGCTAGTGCTTTGTATCAAGTGCAAAAAGAAGGTAAGCAAACGACAATACGGGAAGGGGGAGAGGTATTGAGACAAAACTTGGGGGAGAGGGGTCGTCTACAGCGGTTGTATGCCATACTTGCTCGACCCTGATGGTACGCTTGTTTGAATTACTTGTTTTTCGCCTTCAAATTCCTCCCGTTCGACGAATTCGTCCGCGGTATTCTGACGCGGCAGGGATAGACTTTTAGATAGATCCTTGAAACTTCTAAAATTCTATGATTTCTAAGAAGCTGCATGCTGTTGCAGCCCTTAAAAAGCTCTATTGCGAGAAGAAGCACTTGGTGTTACCACGTTTACCAACTGGATAGCATGTCGTGTTCTGCAACATGTTTGATTGTTTCATTTCATTAGTTAGTTTCACTTTTGTTCTTTTGAACATCGCCAGTGGCATCATTCGGCTGTACGTATACAGTCGAATCATTTCATATGATCATGTGTGTCATTGCACGCACAGTCCACCTTTTGGCGTCTCCATCCTGGATTCTTGGAGGAAACAACCCTTCAGGTAAGTATTTTCAATGTGTTCTTGATTTCTTCAGGCACTAATCACCTCAAGTTGATGTAATTGATAAAAATCGGTAAGTCTCCTGCGTTTTTGCGATTGCGATTCCAGGATGAGGATGCCAAAGGTGGATGTGTGGCAATGATACACATGATCTTAGGGAATGATTCGACTGTTCTTTGCTGCCAATAAATCTATTATTCGACGCACGTGCCCCACTCCACCCATAGAAGGACAGAAGTCTCTCGGAACGAAAAATGAATGCAGAATATAGGTAAAATTGATTACTACAATCTTTCCAGCGCTCAGATAAAGCAATGTCAAGTATTGCCATATTAAATAAAATGTATTCATTGCATAAACAGCTTTGATACTTGACACTGGACCATTTGAGCAATTTTGGGCGATTTTGCTTCAGTTTTGCGTTCAATTTTTTGACCTGAAAAACGAGCATAACTCGGCGTCCAGAGGCACTTGGCAGATTTGGAAAGCAGATTTGGAATCACCGCTTAATACTCTTCAAAGCAGAATGGGTCTCATCTGGAAAGGCCATTTCGGCTCGACACGGTTCCCTTGTTAGCTTTCGCCGTAGTTAGAGACATGTCAAGAAGGATGGACGCTAGAAAAGACGTATCAAGGCGCAAAAGAGAGACCATCAAATTTGGCGCACGAATTTGCCCTCAATTCCACTTTCCTGATTGAAACATGCTTTATTTTGGGATTCTCAGCACGAGATTGCGATCTTATCTGAACGTTGGTGTAATATCTGTAACACGTATTTGCGCTACATCTGTCTCTCGTGAGGTTAAAACTTACTAAAAATATTGTGAAATTATAGAGTTGTGCTGAT